GTATCTAAGTTATTCGTACACAACAACTAGAAACAGTACAAAGGCTACAAAGAAAAATTATTAGGATCACTTTTTCAAAATTTAAAGAATATACTGATCCTCCCTTTAAAGAATTATCGATTTTAGTCTACCATCACCTCCCAAAGACTTCTTTTGTCCTCTAACGCTCACAAACTCCGAGCAAGAACTCACTTACAAAAATCTCAGTAACTAAAATATCAAGGAATTTCAATATGGAATTATTTGACAACATCGGAAAAAACTTAAAAAACTCATTTTCTCCTCAAACAAGAAAATAAGAATTTCAGTCAATTTCAATGAGTATTTTCATGAAATATTAGTAATCTAAATACTATAATCTTCGTAACACAGCCATGTCTATTTTTCAATTTTCAAAAAAATCATCGTTGTAAACTTTTCTTAAGGCGTTCTCGCTCCTCGTAACTCCTCCTAAAGGGTTGCTGGTATGTTCTTTTTCCCAAGTATAACTTAGCGGCTGTTTACATGGAGGGCCTCGAGCACCGGGAAGATCGTAGAAGGCGATCTTAGCGCCATTTGTTTTCTGTTTTCAGTTTACATGCAAAGGTTTGTACTTGTCTGAAAGAGCTAGGATCTTCCCGGCTAGCTGAGAGGTAGGAAGACCCCTACGGCCCCTGTAAGTACCTTGTAAACTAGTTTTCGCTAGTAGGAAGATCATTAATAAACAAGAATGGCGGCGGGTCGTTAACGGTCATAGATTTCGTTTGGCGTCACCTCGAGCTGATAATTGTGATAATTCTGCTGAAATTAAAGATAGTTGGTAACGCCAGTAAAAAGAGCAGAAAGACCCCAATTGCATTTTTGACTTTGACGCCCGCCATCTTTAATTCCTTCTCTAACTGGGCACCACAGGGACCTCTGGCTCCTAACGAATCTTTAAGCAACTTGAACGCAACTGTTAAGTCACCGTTTAAGAGGTCCATGCTCAGAATTTTACAAATATTGAAGTGGAAAGAATCAAATGATGATGATGATGATGAAATGTGACCCAGAGAATAAAGTTGGACGCGTGGAACTCAGGAATAAATTAAAGCAAATGTATATCTTGCAATGAAATGTCTTTGTCCAAAAATATTCCAGACCTATGATATTTCCCTCTCCTTCCCGTTAAATTTAGAATAACGTTACAAAATCTACCTTCTTAATAAACGTTTTTTTTTTGTTATTTATTTGTGGTCACCCGAAGTTACGCTCCTAGTGAAAATACTAATTAGTTTTGAGCTCACCTGCCTCGAGTGCAATTATTAAGCTTTAAGAAGCGCATGGAGAATTCCTGCGTTTCGTTGTTCTCTTTTGTCAATGCTTTTTTGTTGGTAAAAAGAGAAGAAATCGTAGCTCTTAAAATAAAAGTTATTTGCAATACTTTTCAATTCACCTTATACGGTATATCGAGTATATTTAAATTTCAGAACATTAATTTGAACGTAACAATAGTCAACGTCAGTCATTTAAACCCTGCATTTACTAATGACTAAATCTCTGCAGGGTCAACCCAGCATTTTTGACCAATCGTTTGTCTCAAATAAGTCGCTCAAGTATGTTAGTGATATACACAACGCGAACTCGATAATATAAAGCACGAAGGCCATGGCTCAGGCCGTAAACTGCATGGTTGTGCGCTGCCATGCATTCTGCAGTTATCTTGCTATCTTACAGGCTTATGCACTGGGTCTTTGAAACTACAGAGAAGCCTCAGTCGCTTTTAAAATAATCGACATTCAAAAACTCAACAGTGCCACAGAGAAGGGGGCGGGAGGAGGGGACTCCCGTTGCTAGAGAAATTGATATTCTAATGACTGGGTTCACTTGAAATAACAGGTATAACAATTAAGTATTACCTGTCAGATTCCCAACAGCAACAAAAAAACCTAGTTCCGCTCATATTTTGACAGACAATTTTTTCCCAACTTCGGCTTCCGTCAGCGACAGTTTGTCGGCCTTTGAGTACTCTTAAATGACGTGTTCTAGAGTTTCAGTTCAGTGCTTTTTTAAAAGTGAATTATTTAACTCCATATAATTGTTGTGAAGAAAGAACTTAGATATCATTTCGAGTTTATTAGCTAACATTGTTTCTTTTCCGGGAAATTCAACTCTGCAAAGTCAAGATTCGTACCATAGCTACAACTGGCTTGATCGAGACCGTGTAACAGAGGCATGCTAAGGTTATCCATTTTGCTGAATGGCTGTTTGTGCCTTTACTTTGGCTTTTTCGCTGAAGCAATAGAGATTCAAATTGATGCCTTCACATCCGCTCGAATGTTCAGCTTTGTGGAACACAAGTGGTACTATCTTGAAGCATCAAAGCAAATGATATTCAATGTGAGCGAGTTTGCAGACTGCGCTATGAAATGTTTGACGGCAGTTCCAGCATGTTTATCTCTGAATGCGGCTTCTTCTCCTGACGAAGAGGGGGTATTCTGGTGCGAGTTACTACTAAGCGACATGTACAACAACTCAGTAAACCTTAGAGAAAACGCAATGTCTCACCACTACTCTAAATCGGTAAGTTAACAATTTGACAACTAGATTCACCAAGGGGCCTAAATTCAGATTACTACCCATGTTCAAGTTAAGTTTATTTATATGGCTTAATAAGTCTAGATTTTTCTCGAAGTGCTTCCATTCCCCTTTTTAATCTATGAAACTTTCCTTAAGTTAGGAAATTAAAGCGAATAGAAGGTATTTTGCCTCCAAACTAAAAAATTGAAAAACGTTTGCAAAGTGAGACATTCAGCGAAGAATCCGATGGCTAAAATCCAAAAAAGAGGAAATTCAGGAAAGAAAAATTTATCGAAAATTCAGCTAATCGAGGGCGGCTCTATGTTTGGGAAATTTCTGGAAAACCAAGAAAATCGACTCCGTTTTAAGAATTTATGACATAAATTATGTGGCAAGCGCTTTCAAAGTTTAAAGTTTCAGTAGACCATATAAAAGACGATTGTAGTTCCTGTATGATTTGTAACTTTTAAAATTTTTAGAAGTATTTTACCATTTTCTAATATATTTTTGTCGGGTTTTAACTTAACAGTTTTGAATTTTTTAAATATTGATTTTACATTTTAAATTTTAGTGAGTTTCAACGTATTCTATATTACACATTTTTTTATTACATTATTTTTACTTTCAATTCGAAGACGTTTTGTAAAATGTTTTCTATTCCACGGGTGTCTTAATCAGTTAAACACAAGGACACCTGAATAAAGTTGCTATGTTATTTTAAACTTTTATGGAAATAGTATTCACGTAAGGCTCCCCGCCTTGAAATTAATTACTGAGCAGAAGTTTTGGTTACTAATTTGGTTACTGATACAATAAAAACTCGCGTGTATTTAGAACCTGTATTTTTTGAAGTCTGGCGGAAAAAGGTTCTTGTATTTTGAGGTTCCTAGTTATTGGCAGGTCTTTTAAGAACCTGTTTGACAATTAAAATTGCTATGAAGAAGATATAGTTGTTGACTACCAGAAAAATAAATGAAATATGATTTGGTCCTAAATAATCAGTTATGTATTTATTCACAACTTTAACATGATAAGCCCAACTAGAATGATCGTTACAGAATGTATATGTAACATGAGAACAAGAGTTTTATCCGGATAAAAAAATGATTTAAAAAACTGAAGAATTAGCTAACTAACTAAATAAATAGATTTCCTGCAATACAAATTTGAAATTGCAATCTCAAAGTTTAACTCCTTGCTTAAAACTATCCGCTGTAACTGATACATACGAACCTGCTGGACCTTGCTTGTCTAAACAAGTTCTTATATTTTTGGGTATTGAAATGGCAAATTTCTGCCAGCAGTTCTTAAACCACTTTCAAGGTTTTTCTTGCAAGCGAGTTTTTACCAGTGAGTAACTAACTAACATTGATTAACAAGAGTGAGAAGTTTATCCTCCCCTCCCCACCCAGTCCGATGTGTGTTTATTCTACCGCTGCTTTATTAGAAATAAAGGTTGTTTCACTTCGTGGTTCAAACTTACATGAAAACAGATTGTTATTGGTTAAATAACGGCAAATAACTCCTTTTAAAGTTTGTCCTAAAAACAAGAAAGCAGTAGTCTTCCACACAGGCTGCGCAGGAAACTAAGAAAGCAATCTTGTTCCTCTATTTTTTTTTTATGTGGGTGCATAAAAACTAAGTTCGCTAAAATGTTCCACAAATTATTTTCTTTTCTTTCTTTTTCTTCTTTTTTGCTTTATGGTTCAAAATTTGACCCCGTTATTTCAATTGGTATTCTGCTCATTTCTTTAAATGAATACAGAAAATTAATAAATGAACAAAAAACCGACTAAAGTAATTCAAAATACTCAAAACCTAACAAAAATAAGATAGAATTAACTGGGTATAGTTTTTAGATTTTATTTATGTCATGGTTTCTTTTTCAGACTCCTTGTGTGAAGAGACCCTGCCAAAATGGCGGTGTTTGCACTCCTTTATATTACGACGATAGTCACATGTGTGATTGCAACACAGGATTCACTGGAAGAAACTGTGAAATAAGTAGGCAACACAACAGACATTTTCTGTGTTGTTTCCTGGTTTTAAATTTAAAAATTTTGTAGTTCTTACATGCAACTTTAAGAATATCTCAAGCTCAGTAAATTTGTCCTCCTTCATTACTCAAGGGGTTTATTTAAGGTCTGGGTCAAAGATGTGTTCTGAGCATATGAATAATTGGCAATATCTCTCGCCAGGAGACCTAGGAAAAAATTATTTTTTCCCCCAAAGTAAATCTTGATATTTTCTTGTGCCTTAACGTTTAATTATGGTCACGTGACATGTCACGTGACTAAAAAGAAAATGAAGTAAATTCGCTTGGTGGCGAATTTTCTTTGTTTCGATAAACAAATTGACATTTTTGGAAAGAAGATAATCATACCCATCTTTCTACTTTTGGAATGAATGTGCGCAAAGTTTCCAACTAAAGTTTTAAATAATTCGAGGTTAAATTTGGACTTAAAAATGATGTTTTCCGCCATATTTTTTATTGAAGTGTAATCGGCTACCGATTCGTCAATAGTACACGATTTTTAGCAAAATGGTCACGTGACTTGTTAACACAATGTTTACACTTGAAAATGATAAGGACGATAACTTCTTCATGTGTGCTAAATTTGGATTCAGCGCCATCATCCACTCAAGTAGTTTAAGGCCTGGGACTTAAAGGCGTTTACTTGTGGAAAATGATTACTTGCTATAACATTGACATAGGTGATGGCGCTGAATCAAAATTTGGCTCACGTAAAGAACTCACCGTCCTTAACATTTTAAAGTGTAAACATTGTGTTAATAAGTCCATTTTGCTAAAAATCGTAAATTACTGCCCAATTGGTGGCCGGTTTACGAAAAGAAATCGGAAAAAACATTTTATTTTTCTAATTCATGTTAAATATTTCTAACACTTCACGTTTGGAATGACCGTCCATTGCACTTCAATAAAAAATTATAAGGGAAATCATTAATTATTTTAACTGCCCAAATTTAATCCTGAATTATTTAAAACTTTAATTTTAAACTTCGCGTACATTCATTCCAAACGTAGAAGTTAGGCATGTTTATCCTCTTTCAGAAATACCAATTTGTTTATCGAAACAAAGTAAATTCGCCACCAATTCGCCAATTTCCTTCAGTTTCACTTTTTGGTCACTTGACACGTCACGTGACCATAATTAAACGTTAAGACACAAGAAAACCTGAAGATTTACTTCTGCGGAAAAGTTCATTTTGTTAGCTAGGTCTCCTAGCGAGAGATATTGCCAATTTTTCATATGCTCAGAATACATCTTCGACACAGGCCTTAAACCCCTTGAGTATGCCGAAGTTATAGCCAATAAATCATTTTCTACAGGTAAACCCCTTAGTCACGGGCCTTAAACTTCTTGAGTAGCAATTTTTCTTACTTTAATTTGCTTCCTTGAAAGCGTTGTTTTTTAACTTCAGGGTCAACTTATGCTGAGGTTATCAAAAATTGAAAGATTGAATGACATTTTCAGTTTTCTCGCCTTTCAGCTCTCAGTTATTAGTTACTAGATAAAAAGTCAGTCAATTCCACTTCAAATCTGCAAATATTTGTTTGAATGTAAACAGTTAAAAGAACAACATCGTTCTTTATCTCGATTTATCCACAAAACAGGAAGAGAAAATGAGGAAAATTGTTCTGAGCGTTTTCACTCATATGGCCAACGGCTATTCAAATGTTTAGAAGCAAAAGAACGCGTTTACATGAGGAAAAAGTTTAACTCCTACGGGTCTTTTCTGGGACACCAAAAAAAAAAAACGGCAGTGGCGAACTTGACTTCATGTTAAAATTCTCTATAAAACCAAATATAGGTTGAAAGAAAAGAAACAGAGCGTTGGAGTTGGCGCTTATAATTACTCACAATTATAAGGAAAGGAAACAAAAAAGTTAACAATAGTTTACATTGAAATTATAGTAAGAAAAAAATGGGAGTTACAAAAACGTAAATTTCACAGAGAATGAATCAGTTGATTCAATTGAAACAATACATTCTAAAAAATTCGACTGGTTATTCAAAGTTGTCTCACAGACGTTATTAGAGAAGTAGTAGTTAAAGAAGAGAAAGAAAAACTATGCTTTTTAAAAATTTAAATAGGGAGTCGTTGTAAATTCCTGCTTATCGATAATGACATTTTGCGACGTTTCTTGAAAATGATGTCGATAGAAACATATACAGCTATTTCGAGAAAGGTTAGCAGAAAAAGTGTACGCGACAATCGAGAAAGGTATTGTGGGTGGTATTGATTTCACTGTTCTTTAAAGAAATTTTAAAGAATGGCACGGAAGGCCATAGACGAATGTTTGCGAATGCTAAAGGATAGCAACAATAGAGGATTTGACACCGCTACAGTGTCAGCAACTGCGTATTGATCATATCCCATATTACTTTTCGGGATTGTCGCATGCACATTTTTTCCGACTACCTTTTTAGAAATAGCTGTATAAAGATTGAACCTGGGGGAAATTGATCGGCCACCTTTGACTGCAAAACCAGGTAAACGATTTCTGTATTAAGGAGCTTTTTAGGTGCTATATTGATGTTAGATTTTCTCACCTCTTCCTTCATTTAGACATTGATGACTGCATACCATATCCGTGTAGCAATGGCGCAACATGTGAAGACCAAGTAAACAACTACACTTGCACTTGCATAGTCGGCTTTTACGGAAGGCACTGTACCACTAGTAAGTAAAACACCGGAAAAGCACAGTCCATACATGACTTTATCTGTACGTATCTCTGGAGTAAGCGCCATAACAGCAAGAGCAAATAAACAAAACAAAACAAAACAAAAAAAATATATATATTGATGCATATGTCTGTCTAATATTTTGAATGCGCCCGGTTTTTTCAGTCCACTTCTTGGCATCTCAGTCAGATGAATCACCTCGTCGTGTATGATTTTTATCAATCTATGCACCTTCGACAGAGAACTGAGAACAATCTTTTGTATAAAAGTGTGCTTCTTTTCGTTAGATCCAGACGATTGTGCTTCTAGCCCTTGTCAGTACGGAGGAGCTTGCACAGATAGTCTGGATGACTACTCCTGCTCATGCCCAGCTGGAACTACAGGGAAGTCTTGCGAAATCAGTAAGTACATAGGTGTACTTAAAAGGTTTACGTTTCGGACTCGATATCTACTCGTTGCTGTCGTCTTCGTCGTCGTCCTCTTCTTCTTCGATCTTCTTCTTCTTCTTTAATTCTTCTTCTTGTTCTTGTTCTTCTTTTTCTTCTTATAATTATTATTACTAAAGATAGGATAGGAACTAAAAGAGATTTCTAACTTGTTTTAGTGCAAGGACAATCTTTAAAAGTTATAATGATATCATGGATAAAAGTCAGTTTATTTATTGAGTAATGTTGCTTTTCTCAGATCTTAACGACTGTTTTCCAAACCCGTGTGTAAACGGCGCGACATGTACGGACGAATTAAATGACTATAGCTGCACATGCGTAGCCGGATACGGAGGGAAAAACTGCAGTATCGGTGAGTGTTTATTATAGAATTAAGTGAGTAACCTTATAGTAATGTTTTCTGAGGAAAGGGAGGAGGGGCGGGGATTGACTTTAAATGAAAAAGATAAAACGAAAACTTATGTGTAATATACGAAACGTTGACGGATTTAATATCACTTCGAAGACATTAATGGTTGGGAGTGTCTGTCATGAAAGTTGGGAGCTGGTAAAATGAAACTGGCAGATTTTATAAATCTTACTGTCAAATATTCCAAAAAACCTGGCGACGATTTAACATTAAATTAACAATTAGTTCATGCGTCTGCGTGCGTATATCGAGATATTGAGAACGCAGGACGTTTGGAGAGCACGAAAGAGGCGTAAGAGTTGCTCGAGGCGCAGCCGAGAGCAACTCTTGCCTCTTTAATTTAGTGCTCTCCAAACTTCCCAGGTGCTCAATATCTCGACTTACGCACAGCTGAAGCATGAACTAATTGTTTTACAAAGCGATCAATGCAGCAGTTAACTAAATTTTTTATCATTGTAGCGCGCGCTGAAAGGAGTAAGCGTCAATGTCTACGTGACTAAGCTTATATTTTTTTTTACCTCACCGCTATGTTTTTGTCTTGGAACTGAGAGAAAGTTTTCTGAAATCGCCTAAGATAACATTAAAAAAGATTGTAAAATCTATATTGAGGTGCCGAAAAACCATTAATTCACCGAAAAATCCTTTTTGAAAGAAATAACCTTCCAAAGAATGTTTTGCACACGCCATAGCCCGCACAGCTCGGGCAGATAACAACAACAACAACAACAACAACAACAACAACACTCACCTACTATCGGTTAACAAATTCAAAAGTTTTCTCTTAAATTTACGTTATAAAACACATGGTTAACGCTTCATCGTGTGCTGTTGACTTATGGATCCACTTGGGAGACGTCTCTGGAGGATTGCTAAGCTCAGAAGAACTCGAGGTATCGTTTATTTACGTCATCAACTTGCTTAATGGGATTATGAGGCACAATCGCGCTATGGAATTTGATTACGCGAATATTCTAGCTATGTTATAAAATATCTGAGGACATGCTTCCAACAGAACAAAATGAATCTAATAAATGTCGACTCGCTTTGGTTTGCTTTTAATGAGTTTCCTGGTCGTGCTTTTTGCTTGAATCTTTAATCTTAAACTTGAAATAAGTAAAACGTTAATAAAGATCATTTCATTACTGAGTTAACTGAACATTTATGTTACATTTCCTACAACATTTTCTTATTAACAACTGAATCTGTTCCGTCTTGTCATCTGTTTTGTATTACAACTTCACGGTCTTTCAATTAAGAAATGGTAAGAATGCAGCATGCCGCCATTGAATTATGGATGCACGCAGGAGGTTGTCAAGTAAGAAAAAAGCGCAAGAGTTGTTCGAGGTGTAGCCGAGAGCGACTGACTAGCTTCCTCAATGCTTAGCAAACCTCCTAAGTGTATCCATAACTCAACGTTTGCATGCACAATAGAGGAGTTCTCCAGTTTTACCGCGCTAGCTTTCCGTTGGCGTGCAGTCATGGAAAAATGGTACATGGCTAATTGACCAATCAGAGTGCGCGCTTTGTTTTTGTTATGTTATAACAGATATCAATGACTGTTATCCCAACCCGTGTTTGAACGGTGCAACATGCACGGACCAGCTGAATAGTTACACGTGTTCTTGTGCACCTGGATTTGAAGGGATCAATTGTTCTTTTGGTAAGTGTCTCAAGCATTTGTCGTCCTAGTAATTCTTTGAATTTTACGGCGTGGGTAAAGAAGGGTGGACCGAGGTTTTTAAGTCACATGGTTATCCTTTTTGACTTTAGAAGTTTGTTAATCTACTTTTAATACACTGAAACAATTTCACTAAAAATTTTGGGACGTCGGAACAGCGCAGTCCGAGGTCAATCGCTCCAAACTCCGTCTGAATCACGTGCTTTTCACAAAAGAGAGGGCGAGAGAGCGGAGCAGAAGAGACGAGACCGTAGGAAGTTAGAGTGAGTAACATAGTACCACCTGAAACCCAGGCTAGTAAATTGAATTTAAAAGATACTGTTGCGAACAGCAAACTACGAACGAACGTATTTCGCTTACAAAGTTTTATCGTCGATCGCTATCTTTAACATTGACTCATAACAGAGATCTAGCTGTGGGCTAAATACCATGGACTTTAGGGAAAACGACATTTAGAATTTATATCCTGCAGCCTCCGCGTTCTAACCTGTGTCTGTTATGTTGCCAACCCTGTACACGCTTTGTACAGCCTGTATCAAGATGGCTTTCGGTTCAGGCTAGAAAAACATTTATATACTTTGAATACGCCATTTTTAAACAAATTTTAGGCACCACTGGTTCTCTCCAACCATGCTCTTTGAATCATTGACTGGCCTTAAAAGTTCTAAAAATACGCCATATTTCCACGCTGGCGTTATTTTACTACAGCTACTAGAATGATTCGAAATTTTGCTTTCTTGTGCAAACTACGCCTATTGTTTCTTATAGACCTTGTGGGATGACTAAATTTGAATAAAAAAGCCCACACAAATTGGACTGGTAGTTGTCGTCAAAGTACACATCACGGAGATCGCCTATTACATAGTGAGTGGTCTTAAACGACTCACTTAATCAGTGACACATGTAAAACGCCCTTTTATAGATATATTGAATATTCCATTAAGTGCTTGTGATTTGACGTTCACAGGTTGCAACCAAAACGATGGGTGGCAAGGTTTCAATAAATACTGCTATAAACTCACACAAGATTTGAAAACGTGGAATAATGCTATGACGGACTGCGTGGCGATAGGCTCGAATTTGGTGACCATTCATTCCGAAGAAGAACAAGACTTTGTTTGGTCAATTATCCCTGTCAACGTGGACATATGGATGGGCGGAAACGACATAGCTACCGAGGGAGACTGGGTATGGGAAGATGATAAACCTTGGGGTGTTTACACGAAGTGGCATCCTGGGGAACCAAATGATGCTAATTACGCTGAGGACTGCCTAACGATGTATCAAGCTCACGGCATGTGGAACGATTTGGATTGTGATTGGCAACTGTCATCCATCTGTAAAAAAGGTGATTTTCAATTGTTATTTCGATTGGAAAACATTTTTATTGGTTGGTTTCTTATCGCTATTTAGTCAGTGTTAAGGTTGGGAGCGTGGAGATATAAAGTAGGGTGATTTTGGATGCTAACCTACCCTCGGTGCCAGAGACTTTTCTAGCGCGGTTTCCGGTTTCTGTCAAGTCTTTATAGTGACCCGCGCGATGGCTTCGGCCTACGGCCGAAGATGTGTCGGCCCTCGGCCCACACAAAAAATTCCCGCTGCATGCGAGAAAAACCTCTGGTACCCAGGGTAATGCTAACCATGACATGGGGGAATGATTTTGGACATTTGGAATTGGAAATCAAATGGTGTGGGAAACTCAAGAATTTAGGTTGAAGCTTTTCTTTCTTTCTTTTTCTTTTGTCTCTTCAGCTGATTGCTCACACGTTATAGTGTTTCCTTTGACCTTAAAGGTCAAATTTAGTCTTTGAATGTTTCAGCACGAGATTTCAAATAGGATTCCTCGTGTAAATGTCTTAGTACAGTACCCCTCTAATAAGACGGAACCTTAGTAGAACAGAAGGGAGCAGTTGCACCGTTGTTTTTAAAGTGGAATGTCATGAGTGTAAAGAATGATACACAAATTATCTTTAATGCCGAAGACGTCATGAATCTCATTCGAATCATGTTATAGTCTTTTATTTTTAAGATGCTGGTGCGCCTAGTGTAAGGATTATATTTGTCCCGAGTACTTTGTTACGTCATTACCTTTATTTTGGCACATGCAAGAAGTGTAAGACTTTTTCCACAACAGTATCTTCGCTACTACTCTCAGCATAATCTAATCTAAAATAATATACAGAGTAATCGTCTAAACGACACAAAGGCAATTCCCAATCTTCACCTAAATCTTAAAATGGACACCAAAGGTTAGCTCTTACCATTTCTCAGCGTATATATTCGGCTTCCAATAAAGAAGGGTACCTGTCTAATACAGACAACATGTGTCAGTCCAAACAATGTCCTTTAAATTAAGAAAGTTAATTGTGTTGTTAGCTCAAAGTTCGTTCTCCCACGTTGGCTTGAGCGTCCGGACAACGTAAAGAGCAGGATCACCTAATTAAATATGTCGTTAAGCCTGGGTATATTGTTCCACGAGCTTGTTTTGTAATTACTTTATAGAGCGGTTTTCACTTGATTGTCGAAAGTAATTGAGGAATTGGTTTGGTTTTGGTTTTACTAAGCCCTTTGGTTGGCTAGTGTATTTACTTTGGTTTTGGTTTTACGACAGTCAAGTGAAAACCGCTCTATTGCAAATCACTTTACTTACACTTAGTCACTTACGAACACTTCATTTCATTTTATTTTACTTTACGTTACTCGACAGGATGTGATATGAATGGCGGATGGATGATGTTCAACAGTTTTTGTTACAAATACATTGCAATCCTAAAAAATTGGCAAGGTGCCAAAACCTATTGTGATAGCTTGAATTCGAAGTTGCTGACCGTTCACTCGCAAGCAGAGAATGACTTTGCACACTCACTCATCCCTGGGAACGGGCAACACATATGGGTAGGCGCAACCGACATAGCAACGGAAGGAACCTGGGTGTGGGAGGACGGAAAAGCCTGGGGAAGTTACACAGGATGGGCAACCGATAGCTCAGAACCTAATGGAGGTAGCTCTGAGAATTGTGCAATGATGTACAAATCTGGGAAACCTGGCCTCTGGAATGATTTAAGTTGCACCGGTATGCTTCATTATGTTTGTAAAAAGTAAAGCCAATTTCAAGCCTACGCAAGCCTACTAAAACTATTATGGGCACAGAAAACGTGAAATATTTGTGACCGTTGGGCCTTGCGTTTGTTTTGGTGAAAAGCAAACCATCTTAGAGTCAACTGATGGAGTTGCTTTGGAAATTATTCTTTTAAGGCTTTGCTGTTAGCTTCGTCACGGCCTCCATCTCAGATTGCTGGTCAAAATTTTGACAGATGAATTCATGCGTAAATACTCTGTCGATATCTAGGCGTTTGTTGACCGACATCTAAAGCTTGTAAACTCGGTCACTGACCAATATCTCTTGAAGTTTGTCTGTTTTCACTTTGGCTGTGAAGTCGAGGGTAATTACGATAATGCATTTTCCGAGATTTGACTGGTTGAATATTGCCCCGCGTTATTGTTGAAGTTAAAATGCACATTGAAGGTTTATAGACTTTTATCTGGTTAAATTAAAAAAAGAAAAATAAATAAATAAACAAACCAACAGCAGCAACTAACAAACAATTTCTAGTGAATACTCAGTTGTTGTATTTGTGCAAAAGGACAGCACGGAAACACCCCCTTCAGTCACACTACTTGAATAAAAATGGTTTTTGAGTTGTTGTAGTATTTGTAGTGCAAGGTGAAAGTCTAGCGTGGTAGTAATAGTTTGACATTTTACCCCGGGTCTAGGGCCTTTTACTAAAACTTATTCGTCTATTAGGTTTTAATGTTATGGCGGTGGAGATATGAAAAAGAATGCTCATTTATAAGATATTGTCTCCCCTCTAGCTGTATACACATGTACGTAATGAATGTAGCCTAATTGCCAACGAGCAAGCCGAGCGAAGACGGTCGGCTTGCGAGGCGGCCAGCTTAATGCCACGCGAAGTATTGCAGAAGGCAGAAAAATCTCGATCGTGCTGTGAAAAGTGTAATGTAAGGTGTAGATTCCCTGGGGATTTTAGTAGCGTTAGATTTCAGGTGTAGTTTCACGTGACTTTTGATGACCTTTCAGTTGTAAAAAAACCTTCAAAGTTCGGACATTGTTCGCTTACGCTCTAGCACCTATTTTTTAAGAGGAAATAATAATTTTATGCTCTGTTTGCCTAAACCAATGACTACTTCTTATGGTATCAATTCCTTTAGTTACTTGGCAGCAACATGGTGGAATTCTCTTCCTGACCATCACCAAACTATTTCTGATATTTCTTCTTTTTTCTTCTTTTCGACGACTGATATCTACTGGGAGCAATAATTTACTTAAAAGGGAAAGAACTGCAAACCTTTCTACATCATGATAATTTGTAAGCTAGTTGTCTAGGTAGTTAGTTATCTTATTTGTTATATAGGATTAACTTTTTATTATAATTATTTATTAATGTAGTTGGCTCGAAGATATTAACACTTGAGTGCTACACTGTAAATTCGAAGGTAAATAAAGTTTATTGATTGACTGATTGATTGGCACTCTACTGTACTTGTACCGGAACTACAACTCGCTATTTCAAGTTCTCGCTAACCTATAAAGTTATATAGTTTAAGGTTCAAAAATGTCTTTATAGGCAGAAGAATAAGAGCGATTTTGAGGCCAAGAGCATGGCAGAAATGTAGGAACGAGGAGTACTTGTAGTGGAAATTCTCGCCTCAGCAGCTGAAATTAAATGGTTTTATAAACATTGGAACTAAAACCGGTGATGTAGGCAAATTCTTTTTCTTTCGTTGGCACTCAGCGAAAGCTACAACTAGTAGAGCTTGAAAATAATATAGCGGCTGACCTCTCTCCTCCGCAGAGACTCCCGCTAGGTATCCCCATCAAAATAGCAATCACCGAAAAAAATAGAAAGCGCGCGGGGGACGATGGGAAGAGGGAAACGGCCTTCCCCCTTCCCATCGTGCCTCGCGCGCTCTCTTTTTCTTTCTCCCAGCCTCCCCACAACACAAAGAAGCCTCTGCGGAGGAGAGAGGCGGCTGACCAAGAACTTCGCAAAGGGATCTGTGTGTGTTTGTGTGTTGTGGGAGGGAGGGGAGGTAAGGGGTTTGGTTACGTACTTTGGACAAGAGTTCTTTCCAAGGCCTATTACTTTGATCCAACTTGATCCACTGCAATAATTTTTGCTTTAAAAATAACTCTATATCTCCCAGTGCATTTAAGAGTTATTTAAGTTTAGTCTGTTTGAACAATATTTTCCCTTAAATCTTGACCCAACCCCTCCCTCAAAAGATAAATGAAGTGCTCCTAAGGGTGAGTATTGGCGTAAAGTTAATTGCTTCTGTTATCAGTATATATACGGAAACTTCGGCTAAATCTATATACTAAATAAATGTTTTTGTGCAGTGGAACCTTTGTCTAAGGAAGGGCCAAGGAACTAACAAAATATGTTCGATAAGGAAGTTTCGTTTTATCGGAGTTCCCCTCCTATGTTTTGACACTAATTGTAGGGTGAGAATGAGGCTATGATCACACTATGGACCGCATAGCTCTTGGGCCGACACAAAAACAATACAGATGGGAAGGGCTTCTGTTTACACATAAGAGTGGTATTTTCGGCGCGATTTCTGTAACGGCTCGTCGATGTTATATAGTGAATCGTCACATATCGGATAAGTTTCTGCCACTTTTGGCCCAGTGTGAGCAGGAATTTAGACCTTAGCAGGAGTAAACGATCAGGATCGAGGAGTTGAAGTCTGCGCTGAACCCAGTCGAAAGTAAACATTCACAAGTAAGGACTGAGATTTAGGTACCAAACCCTCTCGGCCAACCGATTTTCGATGTTTATTTCTTTGTGAACGACTTGTTTCAGTTCTTTGCCGTTGCTTTCCATCTTGTACTGTACTGCTTTTCATATTGGCAGGAAAAGCTATCCAGTATAATGTACACATACTGGGTAGTTTTTCCTGCCAATATGAAAAGCAGTATCGTACATGATGGGCGGCAACGGCACAGAAACCTTAGCACGCGACTGACCGAACGCAAACCAGCGACGAGAAATGGTGACGTCAACAATCAGAGCACCATTTACGGATGAAACATCAAATCGACTGGGACGCTGCGACATGTATTACGAATTCTACAGACTACTATCAGTATCAAAGACTCACTTTAGAAAGCTGGTTTACTAACTCGTAACAAGTGTCGCTGAATCGTAATCAGCAGTTACCGGCTATGTACAAACGACTTATTGAGCGGAATCAAGCAAAACTCAATACGAGAGAACGACTGGACAACTGACAATTTGACTAGCAACAAACGACTGTTAAACTGAGACAATAGACAGATTTAAACGCACCAATGACATCACGAGTCTTCATAGCCAATAACGTCACGGCTTAACTGACAGACGAACGATAACATCGCGATTTAATGACCAATCAGGTCACTACCTAGAGTTTAATAACATCAACTGACGTCGGATAGAAGTTGAACTCAATTTGACTCTGAAGATGACTACCGCCCAGGCTGTCGAAACGTCAGTCACTGTCAACAACAACGGTCCTATTCAGGACTACTTTCACCCAAACGATCATACTTAACCTACTTATAAAATTTTTCTTGTTAGGTAGCGCTGAGTTCTCAAAATTACGGCCCTTTCCTACTCCAACAAACCGTACAGAAGTTGTTAACATTCATCGAGCAAAAACATCAGTTAAAGTAAATGAGACAACGCTGTTTTGAATCATTCGAAGTCTTTTCTCACCTTAAAAACATCAACCTTAGTATTTTGTTGAATTTCGAAAGATCAATCTCTAAAAAATTTGGTAAGACAGCGAGCTCACGCATTATCGACTCGCTAGGAGGTGAATGTTGTTGAATAGCCCTAGATAGCGAACCAAACAGATTGCTTAAAGCACCAAGATCTCCGAGTGTGTATTTCCTAAACATTATTACACAAATTTTTAATTTCGCACGTGAAGATGGACGTTTATCCCGGATCGAGATGATATTCATACGTTTTAATCTTCTTGAGCAGGCGGATAAAACGTGTTGGACGATCCAAATTCATTCAGACGAACTTAACTAAGCCAGACGTCGAACCTTTCATGAACTTGACTGACACTAAGTTTGGTTCGTCTCATGAAAAGTGTTCTAAAAATAACCTCATATTCAGTGTAATACTATTTAACAATTAATGAAAGCGGCTGAGTATCTTATGAAGAATTATGGAGATCGAGAAGGGCGTTATCCGTCGAGGCGGCAGGCCGAGGCGACTGAGGCGGATAACACCTTCCGAGATCTCCATAATTTTTCATATGATAATGGTAAAATGGGGTTGACAGACCTGCGCGGCTCCTGCTGTGTGACCGTTGTGTTGTTATAAGCCTTTACAGTTTTGCTTTAACAAGCATGTCTTTAAGCGACTTTCCTTTTCTATAAGAGATCAAGGGAGGTTCCTTGAATATCTCTCTGAGTAGTGGCTGGTTTTCTATTAAATGCCATTTTTCCATTAGTATGTTTTTCAAACCTGGTAATGACGGTTGAAATTGCGTGACAAAGGGTAAAAGTATTTTTTGCGCTTTCTGTTTTTGTGTCAGAGCTGTCGCTCTATCTGCATATTTAACTTCTGAGAGGATCTTTTCTACCATACTCTCTGGGTAGCCTCTCGAGATAAGGCGTGTTTTAAAGTTTTTAATATTC